CTGCGTCGCCGCGGTGGCCCCGGGCTGGAAGCGGGAGGGGAGCGGGGGGCGGCCGCGGGAGTCGGATCGGGCTGCGATTACCGCGGCGAGGCGGTAATCAGGGGTCACCTGCATCGGGATGGGGGTAGTGGTGATGAGGATGAAAATGATGAGGACTGGGATGGGGTGAGGACGCAGATGATGGGGATATGGATGGAGATAAGGTTGAGAACGGAGACAGGACATAGATGGATATCCCCAGGAATGGGCACCACAGGGAGGGAAATGCGGCTAATCCGGGGGGCAGGTGCCCCACTACGATGCCCCCCCCCCCCCTCACCCAGCCACGGCACCACATGTCCCTGACCCCAGACGGAATAGACTCCACAGCTCCCCTGTTCTTTGCTTTCGGAGGCTGCCCGGGAAACCGCCCGAAATGCGTTTTCCTCCGGGCAGGCAGGGATATCCCACCCTCCTGCCCGCAGCCCCTTTCCCGGCTCGTGCCAACACCCCCCTCCCACCCCCGGTACCGCATTGCGGAGCTGCCCGTTGCTACTGGATCGGGCGGGGGAAATGGGGGAACACCTCAGCCCCTCCCGGCGCTCGGCGTGCTTTGAGGGCAATAATAGGAGCTCCACGGGGATCTCAGCTGTGCCTGTGCTACGGGAACGCTGGCGGTGGGTCCCCCCATCCTCATCCTCGCTGTGCAGCGGCAGCGGGCGGACAATTAGTTGTTGTAGCTTTTAAATCGCTGTAAATCGAGGCGTTTTCGATCACAGGTGTGGACTGCGGGGCTAATCCCCGCTGCGGGAAAAACAGCCCCGGGGGGGGATCAACCCCATGCTCCGCACCCCTGGGCAGGGTTCGGTGAGTTTGGTTCAAGCCAGGGGTACCTCCAGCCCTTTATTTCGTTTATTTCTCCCCCTTTGTTTGCGACGGGGTTTTCTTCCCCTTATTCAGAGAAAAACCTCGGGGTACATCTGCAAATTCCATCCATCCCTGGAGTCTGACCACTACAGGGTAAAAGCAAAGCTGGGCTGAGGGGTGAAAGCAGCCCCCTCCCCCTCCCCCCCCAGCTGTAAGTCGACCCTTTCCCGAAATTTAAGTGTCCTACCTCTTGCAAACAGCTTAATCCCACTGTCGATAACAACCCGGCGCTGCCCCGACCTTACCCCGAGAATGTGTAGTACTCCCGATGGGGGAAGGATGAACGTCCCTCTGTCCCTGCCCCGCTCCTCCAAGCCCCCTACGAAACAGGCCAGCCTCATCATCTATGTTTTCTCTTTATTTTTTTCGATATATTTATGTACCACATTATATGTTAAAGATAGATTTTTTTTTCTGATATACATTTTTCATCTTATTTACCACAATGACACCACACATACATTGGAAACAGCTCCACGGATCTGGTAGATTGCACAGAATGAATTGTGTCGTAGTTTTGTTCTGTATCCTGAAACGACGTCAAATCCAACAATATGTATTTTTTTTTAGCTTTTCATAATTTAGAAATAACGATTGTTAAAATAAAACAAAACAAAAGTCACTGAGAAGTGGACTCCAGGGCTGCGATTTCAACCAGAGGCAACATATTATAGTCGATGGGAAGCTCCATTCCTCGGTATGGGTTTGGATGGAAGAATTAAGCAGTCCTGACACCTATGTGACAACGGTGTAAACATTGCAGGTAATTGGCATTTCTGGTCGTCAGCTGCTGCTTGGGCTTGTTGGGCTGGTCATACAATCTGGGTCTCATCTACATCCATCTCACCAAGTGTAAAATGAAAGTCCCTGCTCCCAGCACCCACGATGGGTTTGCTTCCGTTTGTGAGCGCAGTGACCCAATCCCATGGGATTGGCACCTGTGTTTCAGCTCCTGAAACACTGAATTGCATATCTGTAAGGAGTATTGAAAACTGCAACTGTTTCCCAACCGGCCATTTGTTGGGGGCCAAGCTTCAGGCAACGAGTGAGGAGATAGGAGTGGGGCACCAGATAATTTCCTTCTAAAAAAATCTAAATAACAAAAAAAATATATTTAAATCTGAGCTTATTTAAAAAGACATCAGGGTGAGCACTTTCGTCTTATTTCCTTTAATTTGCAGATTCTATGATATAGAATTTTTTGGATGCACATAACGAAAATAATGACTCTTTCCATTAAAGGGATGCAGAATTATTTGGCTATGCGGATGTTCGATGCGATTCTCTTACTGCACCAACTCTGGCCCCTCCTTAGTCTTCAGCATTGGTTCTGAAGGCCTCTATGAGGCCTTCTAAAGAGTGGATGAACCCAGAGACACTGCAGATACCACCTATAACAAAAATGGCAACATCAAAGAAGACATGGTGCCACAAGAGCTTCCTCCACAAGAGTTTGAGATGGAAAAGACTGGGGAGGAGGAAACAGAGCCCTGCGCCTGTCAGGCTTCCAGTAAGACCCATCAGGAGGGCAAAATGGGGGACATAGATAGCCATGAGCAGGGTGAAAACTACCAGGGCACACCTGAGGGTGAGTCCCCAGGATTTGAGCCGCCCATCGCCCCCGTAGCAGTTGGGGAAGAAAGCCCTGTTTCCATCTTGGAAAAGGGACCGCTCCAGGACTTCCACAGCTGCGAAGAATGGCAAGGGATACGAGAGCAAGGCTTTGGCCACCAAGAAAATGTTGACTACTGCCCTAATGGTAGATGGCAAGTTGTCTGTAATGACCTCCTTGGTCTCATCAGCCCACGTCAGGTAGGCGACCAAGGCAAAGAGTCCCTTAAGGATGCAAGCTGCTATGTGAGTCCAGTTCATCATGCAATGAAACTCCTTGGGGTTCTGCATGTTCCCCTCCAAGGAAGGCAGAAAGATCTGAGAGGTGTAGCTGAAGACAATGATGCCAATAGAGATGGGAAATTTCTTTACATCAATGTAAAACTTGACTTTGTCCCAGGCCCAGTCGCGTGCCCTGGAGAGGCAGTAGGCAATCACCAAGATGTTGATGACAAAGTGGGCTAATGTGCAGAGCAAGCTGAACTTGGAGACTGCCTTGAGGTTCTTCAAGAATGCACAAGGCAGGAGCACTGCCGTGGCAATGATGGACCATGATTTCTGGGAGACGGGCAGGTTGGGGAAGCTGTTGTACATCAGATTCCCACTGACCACCACATAGAGGATGCAGGTCATGACCAGTTCAATGATCTGAGCCACGTTCACAATTCTGCCCCCAAGGGTGGGGAAGCGAGGCGCGCAGCATGCGTTTGCGATGTCCACGTAGGAGTCTCTCACCCTGACTATCTCCCCATCCTCATTCTCTTCGTAAAGACAGGCAATAAGGATTTTCCCAGTGTAGCAGCAAACCACTGCGGCAAAAATTATTAAAAAGAGTCCTAGGTATCCACCATGAAGGATGGCATAGGGCAGGCCCAAAACAAACATCCCCTAGAAAGAGACAAAATGGAAACCGTGTTGCTCAGTGGTGGAGGGGACCAGGCCCACGCCTGCAGCCGAGTACATGCAGCTGCATCATCACAGTCACATGTGCTCTCGCTGCCTCACTGGCACCACCATCACACCCACGCAGTCGATCACACAACCACGCCACGCAGCCACAGCCACACACAGTGATGCACCACCCTCCCTCGCTGACGTGCTACCCCCACAGTCACACCTGCACATCTGCATGATCTCACACCGCAGCACCCAGAAATAGTGAGTGTGGTTTCAGCGCCCGGGCTTTGCCCCCAGTCTCTACCTTCTCTGTCGCCAGCCCCTCTCAGTGCACCAAGACCCTCATAGCCGGGGACCTCTGGAGGCACCAGACCAGGCCCATCCTGGTGCAATCCTGCCACCAGCCTGGTCACCCCCCGGGCTCCCTATCCCCCTGTCCACCTAGCCCATGTGCTGGGGTAACCTGATTGGGACACCAGCCAGCCCCAGCCCTGTGGGAGCCACAGTGGGATGGGGCTGGGGCTCGGGCCCCTATCTGGCACTGTGCCCTCCTCTGGGGTGGGGGGGCCAAAGGAGAGAACCCTGCTGGGGGCTTTTAGTTTCCTTTTATTTTTTAATATTTCTTTCTTTTTCTTTCCTTTCCCCCACCATTTTTATCTCTATCTTTCATCTATTTTTTTCCCCCTTCTATGCCCTTTTCCGCCTTCTTTCCCTTTCTCCTAAAGCAGGTTTGCAATCAGTCCACGGATCGCAGAGCGGGATTGGGATCAGGATAAGGGAGCACTGCCCGGTGCCCAGCGGCGGTGGCGGCGCAGCGGTGGCCGTACCTGGATGGCGTTGGTGACGTTCCATCCCGCCTCCCATGCGGTGATCTTGGGCTTGCCCTGCCCAGAGAGCTCGGAGCAGGCCTCCTTGGAGGCGGAGGGCGGCAGGGGCCCGGTGCCGTCCCGCTGGTAGTGGATGTCCCCCTCCAGGGGCGTCTCTGCACCCTCCTCTCCACCCTCGGACTTGAGGATGTCCATTTGCAGCCCCTGCCGATGCTCCATGTCCAGGTCGTCGCAGTGGGCGAACCCCACCGCCTCCTCGTCGGTGGCTGCCTGGAAGCCCATCCTGGCGAACATTCCGCTCATCTTCGCCTGCGATTTGTGGGACACCGAGGTGGCCACGTTGGAGAGCTTGCTGCGGAGGAGGGTGGCCATGGCTGCGGCTCGGGTGACTCCACTGCTCGCAGATTCTCAGGGAAGGGAAAATCCCGACGGGGCGGGCGGGCGGCGGGGCGGCGGACGGGAGCTGGGCGCCCGGCTTTGGGCGGCTGCGAGTGGCTGCTCCGAGCCGCTACCTCCGCGTCCCGGCGCAGTGCGGGCGGCTCCCGGCCGGGGTGCCCAGGGGCATGACACCGCTGCGGGGGGAGCGGGCCCGCACGCTCCGCCGCCCGCTCCGCGCTGCTCCGCGCCGCTCCGCCGGGCCCCGCGGTGGGGTCGGGGGACGAGCCGGGCAGGATGGGGGGCAGTCAGCAGCCGGAGGATGTCACCAGACGGGCAGCGCGAGCCCCTGGTAGAGCGCGCTGCGTCTCCATCGCAGTGCGCCCACCTCACGGAGAGAAGAGGAGAGGGGAGAGAATTACTGCATTTCTGGGGGAGGTACCAGCGTCCCCGGCCAAGCCCAGCCCCCCCGCACTCCTCTCCCGCCCCACCCACGCCCGCCGGGCCCCGCCAGCATCGCCGCAGCGCGGACCCCCCCACACCTCCGCCCGGCTCCGCAGCCCCTGCGCAGCCCGCCCTGTCCCGCACCTGCCCCGCACCCGCCCCGCACCCGCCCGCGGGCCCCTGGCCTCCAGTCGCTTCCCCACAGAGAAACAAAAGAGCTCCGCTGAAGAGGCAGACAGGCGTCTATTGACCGGTTCTTAACGGGATTTTCCTCCTCGCACTCCCTTCTTTTGCTTTTTTCTGCCCCCCAAAATGCGCGGCCCCTTCGGAGGTGGAGGGCGGCCTGGGCAGCGAACCCTGCGCGGGGAGCACAGCGGTGCGTGGCCACCTGAGCACAGGGAGCGAGAGCTCAGCTGGATGTAATGATTCCCGCGATCCATGAGCTCCAAAACCGGCTGGACACGGAGCCCCGCTCCTGGTCGGGGCCCTCAGCCGGGCGGCACCGCACCAGCACTGCACCGGCACCCGGCAGGATGCTCAGTGCGGAGCTCTCCGTCCCCCCCAGCTAATGCTGAGATTCTCCTTTCTTTAAATGAAATACCGATATTTTAGTTTTGTTTCCAAGCGCTTTGTCAGTCAAAAGCCTTACGATTTTTTATTTATTTTGAATTTTCCGAGATGAGCGTTCAACACAGCCAACAACGGCAACGGGATATTCCGGTGCTGTGCTGTGGCACAGACAAGTGCAGGGTGGCAGGGGGACTAATGGCATTTTGGAGCGGTGTGCGGAGAGCACGTCCCCTCTGCGGCGAGGGAGCACTTAAATCGTTGTTTTATTAAAAAAAATAAAATTATATATATATCCTTTGAAAGGTGGGGGGAGGGAGGTTGGAATCTGTGTTTCGCTTGCTATTTTGGAAGGTAAAAAAAGAGCATTGTTTTACTACAGATGAGTGGAAAAGCCAGTATTAAATTATTTCCCAATATCGTTGTTGAGGGAGCGGAGAGGGAGCGTTCGGGCTGCGGTTGCAGGTGGGCTGAGGCACTGAGCAGTGGTGGGGAACGAATCCTCCTCGACTCCTAGGGAAAGAAACCTTAAATACCCTCCTTAAATACCTTTTTTTTTCTTTTTTGTGTTTCCCCCCCCGCCCCCCCCGGCAGAATCTGAAAGAAAATTGTGTGCAAAGAGACTGAAAGGCGTAAAACCCCCGCCCCAAATAAATATCCCCAGTGAGGTCTTTACCCCTAAGAGGTGTCTCGGCTGCTGTTCCCGGCTCCCGGTGTAAGGATGGGGTAGCTGCTGCTACAGCCAACTCCGCAAAAATGGGGCTTTTGAATGGCAGCAGAGGAGGCTTTGCGGAGGAATTATTACATGTCAGTGCACAAATAGGTCGAGAAAGCCGAGCGGGGAAGCGCTTCGCCCCGAGTTTACCATCGTCTCGACGGGCTGTGGTTTAAGCAGGGAAAATTAAAATCGGCCAGAGGAGGATGCATTGGGCTCGGGCCGTCACTGGAACTGCTGTTTCACCTCTTCCCACCACTGGAAAATGACTGCTACGACGAACACCTCGAGGGATTAATCCAACGATTTATTTCTCTTTTTATTATTATTATTAATTTTATTTATCCTAAAACGAGTTTTTTTGTGAAAGAAGACATGAAGAACACCTGTTTCTGGAGGCTGCAAGGGGCATCAGGGAAGAAGGAACGAAAATTCATCCAAACCTCTGTCTGGTACGTGAATATTTCCTTAAATCGCCTTGACACATCTCCGCCCCTGCCCCAGCACATCCAAACCTCATCTGGGAGCCCTAAGACGGCCCCGCCGGACATGACGCCGCACCCCCAGCCAGCACCCCTCGATACCGGGGAGAGGAAGGGAGTCTCAGCTATCTCAATGATCTTTAAGGTCCCTTCCAACCCCAGTCTATCTATGATCGTGCCAAGGGTGGAGGAGACGGGCTTTCGGTTGCTCGTTGAGCATCCAGAGTGTGACGGATGTACCGGGCTGGGTAAAAAAATCCGAAACGAAGACAAATAAATAAATAAATAAATAAATAAATAAATAAATAAATAAATAGGTAAACAAATATTACATTTAAAATAATATCTAAACCCGAACAAAACCCCAAACCAACAACATAAAAACCCCAACAACAACCAAAAAAACCCCAACCAAACCCAAGCCCACCAAAACCAAACAAAACCCTCCGAAAAGCAACAAACCAACCAAAAACTCCGAACAAAAAACGCCACAGGGATCTCGAAAGTAAGTCCAGGTTCTCGGGACCAGTGCAGAGAGGCTGCCCCCGGGCAGGGACTCCTCTGTGAGGGCCGTGGGACCCTCGTCCTCCTCGAGGGGCTCGGGCCGTTCCTCCGGCCAGGGATACCATCGGGTTGGGGAAGTCTCTTTTCCCGCTGCTGGACGCAGCTGTGCCCCCTCTTTGCTCGGGGAACCCCTCGCTCTGACACCCTACAGAACGCCAGGGGTCTGCTGAGCCTCGTCGGACACCGAGATGAGTAGGAAACTGAGAGAGGGGGGGTGCGGGCGTTGCGCAGAGTTGCCGGGGGATGCAGAGGATGGTAAGGAGTTCAGGTTCTGGCGAGGTCCGAGGGATACAGGAGCAGGGGATGCCGCGGTGCCGCTGTGCCCACCCGGTTTTAATGCTAGGAGCTGAGCCAACACACGCCTCTCCCACCCCTGCGCTGGTGGTGCGCACCTCGGAGCCGCCCTAACCAGCCCCTGGGACGGCAGCTCGCTTCTGCCCCTTTTCCAGGAGAGGGAGAAAAAGACTTTCTGCAGTAGCACCTGGGAAAAAAAAAAAAAAAAAAAAGGAAATCCACTCTGGACTTCTACCGGCGGCTGAAATCGGGGAGAAAGCGGGGGACGGGACATACAGAGAAAAAGAGGGAGACGAAGAGAGGAAAGCGGAGCCCGGAGAGACGGAGAGGAGGGTCGGGGCATTTACCTCTGCTTCTCTCCCCATCCCTGCCTGCAGCGCGCCGGGGAGCGGGAGCTGAGCGAGGCGTGGGAGGTTGGAGGGGCGGATCGATGGACGGACGGACGGACCGACAGACGGAGGCAGCCGCGTCACTCCTGAACTCTCTCTAACTCCCAATTAACCCAAGCAGGATAACGGTGCCAAACCTCATCGAAAGGTTAGCGGCTCTCAGAGGGGCGCTTGAGCTGCAAATCGTTTCAGACGAAGCTAAAGAGCGAGCAGCAGCCTCTCCTCTGCCAGAGCTGGCGCCGGGGGGCTCTGGCACTAGCTGCTTTCTCCGCAGCCGCTCCCCGGAGCGGGATGGATGACTCCTGTACCCCCTCGAGCAGCCCTGGGGGTGTGCAGCCCTGCTTCTGCGGAGAACAGCTTATCCAGACCTCCCCATCCTCCCCAGGAAACGCCACTTCCAGCCAGAGGAGCGACTGCCTTATCTCTTCAGAGAAGGCTCGTGGGATTTGTGGCTGGGTCTTCTGATTAACAAGCTAAGGGAAAAGACCTATTCGTGCTCAAAAATCATTTAAGGGAAGCAGAGAAGGCCAATCCTGGGTGGGTGAGCTTTCTACAGCCCTCACTGCCAGTCCCTCTTCATGCTGCTGGGTGGCACAGCACAGTGCCAGTTGCATGAAGGTGTGATTATTTGGGAGCAGGACAGGTTCATTGCTCAGTCAGACTCCCAGCCCCCAAAGGATTTGACTCACCTGGGCTTTTGGTGGGCTGTGAACTGCCACAAACACACTGGGCTGCAAATTGTGACCATGTGAAAAGGGGGACTTGTAAATCCTGCTTGTTCATTCTCACCCTCCTTTGCAGTACTCACGAAAAGTGTGGGTGACTGAATGCAGGTGTGTAACCCTCTGATTCCTGCTCGGTTTCCTTACTCATGCCATAATAATTCCTGAAAATCTGCTGCCGGGCATCTCCAGCAGAGCTGCCAGCTGCAGAAACAAGAAGGCTGAGGGGCACCTTCTGCCTAATGACCTGAGAAGATTCCGTGGTCACTTCTGCCCATGGAGCAGACATCGTGCAGTCAGCTCAGGCAGTCACTCTCAGAGCAGTAGCCACCCCCCTGGACATGCACCTGGGTACTTAGAGAGGTGATCCCAGGTGTGGGAAGCAGTCCTCCTTCCCCCAGCCACTGCCAAAAGCACCTCTAGATGCCATCCCCACAGCATCAGTGATGCACAAGCTTATTCTCAGCTCTTGTCCATGAGTGGCTGCACAGCAGTGCCCTTCATCCCAGCTCGGCCTCCTGTGCCCCCTCTGATACCACGTTGGGAACTCCGACAGGATAATAAAGAGTCGCACAATATAGTATAAAAAGGCAATTAGACAAATTGCTGGACTGGGACCAGCTCCCGTGACCTAGTTAGTAGCTCTGGGAATTTCAGGAAGGTAGGGAAGGGAAAGGCCTCGGTATCAGGATGTGGTGAGTGGGTTTTGGAGGGGAGGATGGGCTGTGGGATGCAGTCCAGCACGCTGGAATGCCCCAGGCCTTGGGTTCCACCTTCTCCCTGTTGCCCATGTTTAGAGCTGACTGACATGTTGAAGGTACAAGGCAAAAATGCTGGATGCAGAATCACACAGGCTGCTGCTTGTTTTGTGCTCTGGCTGTTGAGGCTGAATTCACAGTTTGGTGTTCAAGACAAGGACAGCTGCAGCCAGGCTGACAGACACTGCAATAAAATAACCATAACACAGTAAAATCCAGAGGCAAAGTCTCCAGGAGAAAGCCCGCAGTGGATGTCCCCTCTTTATTTAATTTTTTTACTGAACACAAAATGGCTGCCTAAATTATAGAGACATAAAACAAAGACTGAGCATATAAAGGGCTGTGAATATCATCATTTTAGATTAACATGTCTTACAGTAAGAAAATTTGCCAGGAGAATATGTAAAAACTAAATAAAGGCATCTTGATTTAACCTCACTATTTACAAAATAGACAGCTTCTCATCTCTAATTTGGGAGACAGTTTATACATGAATTTCTGTGACTTTCATTTCCCAGAAGGGAGGAGCCCCGATAAACCATTATCATCTATAAGCTAAAAATTTATTTGCAATTTGACCACAACATTCCCAATAAGACGGAATTAAATTTAGCTTGTAGTTTGTCTCTATGGTTGACATCAAAATTAAGTGATAACCATTGGGCACTTGCAGTACCAAATCCCAGCTCATTACAAAAATTTTATTGTTCCCATGAGCTTAACAGCATTTTCATGGACTTAATACATAAAGCTTCATCAATGTCAAATTAAATATTCATATATATACATGCGCTTGTATTTCACAGGAAATACTGTGACTATGACATAGTCTTTCCCAGACTATGGAGTGGGAAAGGAAAGCACATACTTCATAGGTGCCAAGCTTTTTAATGTCAACTTTCAAATAAAAAGCTCTTCTGCTGCAGTTGCGGAGCCTAAGTGCTGCTTTTTGAAATTAGATTTTTGTGATCTCTAGTCCTAGATTGGCTGTTTTCCTCCAGCATAACATTGGTTTTGGGTTTGGTTTTTTTTTTTTTTTTTGGTGATTTTAAGCAAAATTGGGGGCAACCTGCAAAGAAAGCACAAGTTGCAGGGAGTCTGCATTACCTCTAGCCATAGTTAAACAGTGGTGACCACACATAATGTTTCAAAGCACAGAATAAAAGCTGCTGTAATGAATGATGGCTGGTTTGTACAGGAAATTTCTCCCTAAGCAGCCTGTGGTCAGATGATGCTCCAGTACTGGAAAGCTTTTATATAATTATATTTTTTCTTTATTTTTTTCCTCTTTTAAATGTTATTTTTTCTTAATTTTATTCCATCTGTGCATGCAGTGAGGAAGAGCCTCTCCGAGCAGAGGGACAGCCCCAGAAGCCAGCTTGCCTTTGGGGTGTTTCCTGTCAGGAGGGTTCACTCTCAGCCAGCTCCATCCCCCATCTGTCCATTTTCATTCTCCTTTTTGTGTCCATTTCTGATAAAAGCAGGTCAGCAACACACACAGTCACTCACATCTCTTGCAAATGTCTCCCAGCCCCATCCAAAAGCCAAGACCAGCATATTGGAAAAACCTGGTCTCTGCTTTGTGATATTCCTGGTGCTCAGCCAAGGCCAACAGGGGAAGGCAGCATACAGAAGTTTGTGTATCTTCCTTTAACAGAATCTTGCTCGATGTTTTGGAGTGGCACAAACTGGGTACTCTTAACCCTGAGACTTCTGCTACTGGGAAAATTGCAGCTGGGTCTCTGAACCAGAACCCCACCTGAATTTGTGTAGCCTGCTGTTTCCAGCAGCAGGATTTGGATGTGCAGCCTCTGCATGTGGATATCATCAATCAGTTTGGGTCAATTTTTTTGCAGAGATCAAAAATAAAAGCCATTTAAGAGTACAGTAAAAATCTCAACCCAGAAAAACATCACGCGTAGCTATTGCTGTGTCCTAAGGAACGCCAAAGGGTAAGGTGAGGTATGTCATTGCTTTATCCAAAGGGAAAGACAGCTCAGCCCACAGCAACACTTCCCATGCCATGGCATCTGCAGAAAACCTCACCTCATGCTGGTGTTCTCGAGTCCCCTGCATGCCCACTCTGAGCTGGGGGATACTGGTGCTTGTGGGGGAGGATTGGATGCTGCACTCATCTCAACTTCCTCTGCTCTGCAGTTCAAGCAGAGTCCTAAAGTCTTAAATAAAGCAAGCAAAGAGAAAAAAAACCCTCTTTTTGCAAGAAGTCTCCACACACATTGATTCCTTTCATCCCACAACAGTAGCGTGAGCAGTGCAATGAACAGTGCTGGGAGAACACACTGCAGCCCAGGGAGAGGGAGACCACAGGGCTCTCTGCAACCAAAGGGGACTCAGAATCAGGCAGAACCAGCCTTTCCAGGACTGCTGGGGTGCAAGGAAATGCAGTTACCTGTGTCTGACACAAGCAATAGAGAATCTGTTTGTTTCTTACATGGCTCAGAGAGATCAGCCAATCTCAGTGTCTTAATCTGCTGTTTCAGGAGTGTCTATAGCAACCCTGGATACACTGAGCAGCAGATCACCTCCCACTGTAGACAGTCCTCTGTGCTGACTTATGGATCCAGTCACAGGGACAGCACTTTGTAATTACAGTCTAAATGTAGCATTTCTGTACAGTTTCTCAAATACTCTGTCCTGGAAAGCTTTCCTGTCAGCACTTCAGAGTAGGAAAGCTCGGACAGGGTAATATTTACTGTCCTCATGAGCAAGCAAGCAGTGAGTTCCCTGTCCAGAGGCACCTAAGGAGTCCAGCCAGCCCTGGGGGTTTCAGCATCAACCACACAGGCAGAAGACCAGACCACTATAGAGAGGGTTTTTTCTCTCATCTAGTGTAAAGTACAGAAAGAGAACAGATAGCATCTTACTTTTTTTTTAATGAACCTGTAGGATGAGGATTTCCCCCCAGTGCCCTCCCTCTCCTTTTCCCCAGAGCTCATCTTTCACTTTGTCATGCAATTCCCAGCTGGCCAGCTGCAGCCGGCTCTCTCCCTTTTCCATTACACACTCGGCTGAGCCAAGGACGAAAGGGCCCCTGGATTCCAGTGAGAAGGTAATTAATTGACTTTCTGCTCTCATTGCTATGCGGCAAAGGTAGAAGCCCGCAGCAGCCACAGTTCATCTTTAATCCTGGAAGATTAGTCACAAATGGCATCATTATGGAGGTGATCAGCTGCCCCCAATAAAGGAACTAAGGGGGGCTCTCAGGATGAGGAGACCGAGAGCCACGAGTAACAAACACCCTGTTGACCCATCAGCCAGGTGTTGGCATTTGTAGCTCCTCTCTCATATGGTCTTTCTCCTTTACATCTTAAACCTGTCCTAACCTCCAAGCTGGGCTGAGATCAGAGCCACCACTGCTTTGGTGGCTGGTGTCACCCGCCAGCCACACATCCCAGGTAGGAATAAAAAAAAAAAAAATCACTTTTTGGAAACGTAGGTAAAATAAGTGACTGATTTGATGTCCCATCCCTGGAAGTGTTCAATGCCAGGTTAGACAGGGCTTTGAGCAATCTGGTCTAGTAGAAGGTGCCTCTGCCCATGGCAGGAGGCTGGAACAAGATGGTCTTTAAGGTCCCTCCCAACCCAAACCACTCTGTGATTCTATGCTTGTGCAGTGTGCCAAGCTCAGGTGAGCACCTTTCCCCTTTTTGACAGCAGTGCTGTCCCCTCAGAGACAGAGACATCACCAAAATCAGCTTCTTAGTGTGATGGAATGGAAAATTCTACCAAAACTTTTTACAAGATCATTTTTCAGCTCAAAATACCAAGCACTATTCTCTATCTGAGACATAAGGACCACTCACATGCAGACTATTACACATGTGCTGAAAACATGTTTGAATTTTAGCTCTAGACACACACTGGAAATTAATTCCTCTCTTTTCAGCAGCAATAAGTAATGGTAAAATGAACCCATTTTCCTACTGGAAGAAAGACTATTAACCCAGGGAGATGCTTCCATTCTAAGCACTAGAACGTTTACAGAATGTCTGACTAAGAGCAATTGTTTTGTTAATTGTGTAAAATAGCTTCTTATTCTTCAAGGTTTTTTATTTCCCTGGTGATTTTCAACTAAGCTGATCTTCCCTATCTGCTAAGTTTCTGTTTAAGCACTTCTCCAATAGTCATACTCCAGATTTAAAGCAATTTGGTAAGGAAGTTCTACCCAGGGGCAGAGAACTTGAGGGCATCCCAGTATTTCATGACTGCCCAAAACTGCTCCTGCTGGTGCCAGGAATCCATGTGGTACCTTCTTTCCTGCAGCTAGCACCAGCAGGGAAAGGTGGCCTTCTTGGGACAGCTCTTTCTCTCAAAACCCAAGGTGGTTATTTGGGCACATTCAACCAGATAAGGGTTTCTCACTGTGCTGGAGTTTGGGGAGTTCATCATGTCTCCCCTGAGTAATCAGTTGTTCTCTACAGCCCTCTCTGGCTTTTGGTGATTTCTCACTTCCCCTCAGCACAATGCCTCCAGCCCTGCAGGGCCTGATGTGCTATTTGCCTGAGAAGGTCAGCAGCAGAACAAATATTTGCCCTTCCTGTGTCTCATTCAGGGCTTTATAAGAATTAAAGTTTTATTCTATGATCAAACTGTATCTCTCTCTCTTTTTTTTTCTTGGTTCCTTGTTACTCTGATACTGTTTCTTTGATTTTCCTTTGATTTTCAGATAGTACTAATGCCATTTTGTCAGCATACACACACAAAACCTTGCCAGGCTCTAAATCTGTGTCTTAGTGCCAGCACAAAAAAGCATTGTTCTCATAGAATCACACAATGACTTGGGTTGGAAGGGACCTTAAAACCATCTTGTTCCAACTCCCTCCCATGGGCAGGAACACCTTCCTCTAGAGAAGGTTTCTCCAAGCCCTGTCCAACCTGGCCTTGAACATTTCCAGGGAGCGGGGTCTCTGCAGGATGGTCCCGACATGGGGCCAGACCCCACATTCACATTGATAACCATAGAAGGGCTTTTTCTCCTTCTGTGCCTTGTCGTCCACTCACTGATGGAAGTTCAGCCTCTTCTACTCACCTGTGTCCCAAGACACACTCACCTGCAGATCAGGGCTAATTTCTGGTTCAGCCTCCATAGCACTGCACAAGGAGTGCACAGGGGCTCACGTGGAGTGTGCTGAGGAAGGATGTAGAGAGGTTAACTGGCTACAAGGCAAAACCTGTCACTGGAAACAATGCAGAGATCCTCTTCTCACTTCTGGTCAGGTCCATCATCAGTGTACAACGCCTGTAAAAGCACAAGGCTCAGTCCCCTGCCAGCATGCCCAGGAGAGCTGTCTCATTTCACTGAGGTGGCAACTGCTCTCCCGCATGGATCTGAGCACAGTCCTCACACACAGGGAGCTGAGAGGGACCCCAGCTGCAACAACAGCAGGAGTAAAAGCACGTTGTTAAAGGTGTCAGCTTACAGCACACAGCTGGGTAGAAGCAGAGATTCATTTGCACCTTTCCGAAAGTGTTGCAAAGCCTGAAAGTAATTTCTTTCACTATTCTTTGAGCCTTGTGAACTGCCTTCTTCAACCCTGCGCGGTGTTTACTCTAAAACTTAATGAAGGTGACCTATGTTTCTGTTATTTACAAACAGCTGTTTTTCTGTGATCCTCACAAACCATGTGGCTGTACAATCAGTGGTACAGCAGCATCAAAGTGTGCAGGCAGCAACAGCATCCCAGGAAGCTACATTCCGGTGTTCCCAACTCCCTTTTCCATCACTGCATCCAAGGGATTTCTGCTTGTGTCACCAGTAGCCTTAATGCACTTACCTGCATGACAGCCGTGCTTCCCCCTTCTCCTCCCCAGCTGCCTGCATCAGAAACTGGGACATAGCTCTGAGAGGCTCTCTAGAGTGATACTGAAGAAAATACAAAGGTAAAATGTGTTTTACTGTTTGAA